CCCCCAGTACTCTTTCCTGCCATGGCAGGGGGTCGGACTAGATGATCTGCCCAGGTCCCTTCCAACCCTAGAAACTATGAAACTATGAAATGGGTCCCCCCGGAAACGGGCCCCATTTTTTTGGTTCCTACCCCCAGTGTCGCGCTTAAATGGGTCCCCCCGGAAACGGGGCCGTGGTTTTTTGGTTCCTACCCCCGTTTTTTGGTTCCTACCCCTGGTGTCACGCTTAAATGGTTCCCTCTGGAAACGGGGCCTCGGTTTTTTGGTTCCTACCCCCGTTTTTTGGTTCCTACTCCCGGTGTCATGCTTAAATGGGTCCCCCCGGAAACGGGGCCCCGGTTTTTTGGTTGCTACCCCCATTTTTTGGTTCCTTCCCCCTGTGTTGCCCTTAAATGGGTCTCCCAGGAACCTTATTCAAGCCACTATCCTTAGTACAGTTGCTGGGGGGCCGGTGTGGGGGTGGGGGGGATGCAGCATGATCTGAGTTGACAGTGTGGCAGAGCCAAGCAGTGCTTGTGGCCAGACAATACTCTAGTCTGGGATGCCTCAGAGAATTGACCAATGCCACAGAATCATAGAATGGGGTGGCCCAACAAGGACTTCCATCTCTAATCCCAACCCAAAAAACAGTTCCTTGTTCGAGCCATTATACTTAGAACAGTGGCTTGGGGCTGTCAGAGAGCAGCCGGGCACCGCCAAGATGTGTTTTGGGCTGGGCAAGTCTCTGGTTAAAGATGTCCACAAGAGTCCTCCAGGGGCTCAGAGGTATGCCATGGGTTGGCCCAAGTAGGATTTCTAGCTGTAATCTTAGCCCAAAAGCCTGTTCCTTATTCAGGTCCACATATCTAGTACAGTGGCTGGGGTGCTGTCAGTTAGCACCCTGGCACAGCCAAACTGCCTTGACATTAGCATGGCTCTAGCCAATCTGTAGCAGATGTTGAACATAACCTCATGTTAATAAGGTTTCTTTTTGTGTGGGGGGAAGCTTAAAGTTTACTAGAGTTACCTTTCAGGTGTAGAACAGGAAGTTTACAGTCAGTGTAATCTTTATTCTGGTATCCCAACTTCTGTGGAAACTATTGAGGGCAAGTGAGAACCTTGCATTTACACAAATGAAGTTTTTGGAATGCATTTTATTCTCAGAGCACTAGTTTGGTCCTCAGAACTCTGGCTTACCTCCCAGTTTCCAGCTAATAAGTTGTATTAAGGACAGCTAAAAAATATGAGGCAGTTGTCTCAGCTCAGATAAATTGGCTTTAGACTACTGAGTTTAATGAAGTTATGCTAGTGTATACCAACTACATCCCTGGCTTGTATTATAACAAGTGAGAGTATTAGCCTATTTTCTAGGCAGGAGTCTTTTTTTCCTCCCTTTTCTTTCTAACTTCATAACTCTCCAATAGAATCTTAAAAGTGGATTAATCAAATTTGTTTACAAATAATAATGCAAGGATAAAATGGAGTAAAGAGCTTGAGAATCAAAACCACACTCATCTTTGTAAATGCTTTCCCCTCCAAATTTGGGCTAACACCTAGCATTAGTGAATTCATTTTTCTTGTTTTGCATCAACATATCATCAGATCATTGTAAAGACTGAAAATAAAGTAGTGCTTAATGTGACATTTACAAGGCTTGTCTGCGCTTAAAAGATACCTTTCCCTGATTCTTTTTATAATTACAAATTGTCACTATTTAGCTAAGTAATATTATGTAAAGCTTTATTGCTAAAGCATTTTCTATATTTAAACAATGTCAATAGATTATAGTAGGTTCAGGGATGATCAGATTGTATGCTTTTAAAATGTAATTCTAAACCATTTTTGAAGAAAAAGACTATACCATACTTTCCTGTATAGAGTATGGACCTTTCCCCACAAAGAACAGTTCTCATTTTCTTTCTCCAGTGAGATAGTAAAAAAAACCCCAAAAAACAACCCCCCCACCCAAACAACAACCACCACCCACACCCTTTTCCTTCATTTTTTCATACCCCTAAGATAGGAAATCAGTTCTTGCTTCCACTGCTTCCATGCTTGTGCAAGATACTTTTAACCTGAAAAAAATCCAACTTTCCCTTTGATCCAAATCCCTCTTTGCTGCCTGTTTGCTCTATTTCCAGGTACTTTTTCAGACATCCATGCTTCCTACCTCTGGATCTTGCTTAGATCCACTGCCATGTTTTATGTAACACATCCTGGGTAATAATGGGTTATGGGATGGGATTCCATCTCTCAAAAAACCTTCTTTATTTGGAGGGCTAGTTATAGAGAAGTTGCACCAACCCCGACATTCCAGCAACATTCTAAAGACTGGGTTTGTAATGCTGTAGCTGCTATGGGCAAAGTCTGGGCAGAGTACAACAGGGTATGTTGGGTCAAACTAGCTGAGCTGACCAGTTTTACTTTTGCTGGGTCCTTGGCCAAAGCCCACACTGTTCAGAGCCCTTGCCTCTGCCGCAGCCAAGCTAGTGGATAATACCCAGAGGCCACCCTAGGGTTGTTAGCAATGCAAAACAAACAAAATAAGTTAAACAAATAAGTTAGCACTTAGCTGTCTTCCACTGATTCTCCTAGACTTCACCCCCTGGATGCCTCTTATCTTATCAAAGGCTTTGCAGAGCCTGCAGGCTTGTGCAACAAGGCAAATGAGCAAGCAAATAAGAGAAGAGCCCTGCTGGTAGCTACTTAACCCCTGGCAATTCTCAGCTCCAGGCAGCCTGCTTCCTGGCCAAGTACAGCCCCTTGAGGCTGCTTTCAGTATCTTTTATCCTTCCCACTCCGGGCTCACATGGCTCTCTCACTCCCCACACCTGTGTCAGTTCCTTTTGCTGTGGGACTCACTACGTCCCAGGACCTGGTTCCCCAGCCTCTGGTGAGTTTTCCTTGTTCTGGGGTGGGTGTGCAGAGGCGCTTTTGGGGTGTGGGGCTTTTCATACTCCTCTGGACATCTCCTGAACATTTTGTGTTTCGCAAAATGTTCTGTCAAGCCACCTCCAAGGGCCACCCAGATTACTGAAAAGCTACTGGCCAAGGAGATTTTCCAGATACTGGGTAGTTCTTTGTAGGGGAGAGTGCAGGAATGGTTGTCACACACACTTGGGAACTTTGAGTGAACTCCATCCTTGTGTAGCAAACTATTAACAGAACTATTAACTAGCTAAAGACCCTCAAAAAAAGGCACATGTGGTAAAAAGGCCTTTTGCTGGTCTCTGGACAGGATTGAATTCAGTCTATGGAAAGCTTTGGATTGGGCCAGACTGCCCCAGGGACCAAGACTGCCCCAGGAACCAAAAGGGAGTAAGTTATTCTTGCTATTTTTTTGTGGATTCTCCCATATTCTGGGTTGGATTCTGAAAGTTGCATTTCACACCATTAATGGACTTGAACTGAATGTAGGTTAGCCCACTGATGCAAAGCTAGCAGAGGGAGTGTTCTTTCCTCTGATGTCAACCCTGTCTCCAGGGTAAAGGGGAGGTGGGAGGGAGCATGGCAGAAATGAGCTATTATACTTGATCCAATGGTGGTATAGTCCTTTATAGGCTTTTAGCCTTGGCAGAAAGTAAAATGGTCACCTGCTTCTTTTACCTCTGTTGGGACTGGACATTCAGGTTTCAGCATTCAGCCATTTCTTATGTCTGCAACAGTCCACAAGATCTGAGCCATAACAAGAAAGTTAGGCCTCTCTGTCACCAATGGAAACACTTGTGGTTCAATAATGAGCAAGCACTTTGCACGCTGCGTTCCTACTGCTGCAGAGATACTTCCAGCCTGGTAAATAATTATTTAGTTGATGCCTTATGACTAAGCATGACAGATATTTACCACTCACAAATAATAAACAAAGTGTTTTATAGACCTCAACATTAAGGAAAAAGACATACAGCACCGACGCTTGGTCATTGTAACCAAGTAGGGAGATTTGAAGCAAGGTCTTGGCTCCTCTATAAGCAGTATGACTTTTTGTTTCAGGTCTTGATCTGTGAAAGGGCGATAGTAAGACTTAATTTCTCTCACCCATTTTTTGTATTTTCTATTTAGGTACTAAAGTCTTCAGAACAGGGATGGTCTCTTACTGCATATGTGCACAGCAGGTAGCTCAACAGAGCTGTGATCTTGGTTGAAGATTTTAGGTTTTGTGAAAATAAAACTGCTTTTTAAAGACAGATTTTCATCAGAGGATCCTAGAGTACAATAAGAATATAAAAAACTGTTACAGCATCTTTGAGAGTTAGGAAGTATTCTCTCTTTACACATGGCAACGCAGAAGTACCCAGAAGTAAAAACTCTTTTCATGGTCTCATAGCAAGCTAGTGGAAGATGCTAGCCAACTGCAAACAGCTCCCAGGCAACAAACAGTTAATGCTCTTTGGGGTATGTAGTTTACTTGACTGCTGCACAATGATGCTTCAGTGTCTATTGGGACACCTCATTGATACTCTAATACAAATAATGACAGCCTTATATAGCACTATTAAGCAATACTAAAAAATTAAAATGTGAATTCTTCAGAATTATAACAAGATTGAGAGCATTAAGCAGGACAGATCACTCAACAAAATGACACCAGTTTAAATTTTTTTTTATTTTCACAATCAGAGGATTTACATAAAGTGACTCTTATATGAGGAACAGCGTATTAGTTGTACAACAGTTATACATTAGTGTGAAAAAGTGTACACAAGCACAGTAAAAAGTTCTGGAGATAAAGTGAAGTAATACATTTGACAGAATGGATTATTTTCAAGAGCCTATGTACAAATAAATATAGCCTTTGTACTGTGTACAAACATATTCATACAGAATACACTCATTCAGTTACAAGACAGTTTAATCCAGTGAATAATGCGTAAAACATATTTTTTAAAAAACCCCAAACTAAACAAAACAACTTTGTAATTATCTGGGGCTTCTTGAAGTGGTTTTCTATAACAAAAGACGTGGCTTGTTTTTTGTCAATTTAAATGAGTAAAGTAGCTTTAGCTTTTCTTCCTCTAAGGTCGTGTCTACATTTACTTTTATGCATGCCTAAACTTAATGCGCATTAAGATGATTTAGGCGCATGTCTACATGTGAATAAGGATATTCGCACTAAGGTGAATTAATGTGGTGTGCGGACTGACTTGAGACTAGCAGTGCCAAGTCAGTCAGGATACAGAGTTTAATGGACCTTAGTGCGTCTACTAAAGCAGCTTTAGCTATTCAACTCTAAATTGGACACCTCCTTTTGCAGGTATCAAGTTTAGGCATGAATAGCCTAAAATTTGCCATTTTAAAGGCACATTACGGGCATGCATGTGTAGACCCATGCCCTTAATATGCCTTAAAAATGGCTAAAGCACCTTAAATTGGCATGTGTAGATATGTCCTCAGTATAGGAAGCAAGAGTGTTATAACTGGTAAGTTATTCAGCATGCCATTTTCAGAAAGATCATGTTGACAGACTTTCATTGAAAGTGTGAAAAATCTCGCAAGCCAGGATGAAAGCCAGATCCAGATACAGACTGACAGGCTTATTTCTAATTGAGACTCAGATTTCTACAACTTATTTCCCTTTAGCATACAATTGATTTCATCTTTTTAAAGTTGTATACATATACTACACCTTGATTTCAGAAGTGTTTTTTTCAGTCACTGTAGCCAGTCTACACAATATCTGATCTCTGTTGAACAGATATTTGCATTATTTTATTCATTTATTGTTTAATATATTTATGTCTCTCAGCTCTAGACATTTTATAGGAACAAAAGAAAGATTGCTAGCAGAGAGCTTGAAAACTAATTTTAGATGTGACAAGAGGGTGATAGAAACAGTTTGCAAGTGGGGAATGAAAACAAGACATAGGTCCCATAAATAGCAACATGCCATATTCAGCTAATTTGTTGTGCCATAAAATAGCAAATCAGCCACAGAACTATTCCACACAAAATGCTTCCGTTTTTAGTTTTTTAATGTAGTATCTAATATTGCTTCATTTTATATATTTTTATGTGTCATCATATATTACTAGCCAATTGGTCATCAAGAATGATGAGGGCTGGGATTGAATGCCACCACCTAACACCCTATGGTGCCACTGTTCTGCTTCTTGCAGGGAGTGAAGTTGGGGCTCAGCTTTGGGATCATGGCAGCACTCCTCCTACTTGGAGCACTCTGATTATCTGCCAATCAGAGCATGAATAAAGCATTACAGACAGACAAACAGACTTACGCTTTTATGATATTAGAATGTTCAATTTTACTTTTGTTTAAATTAGTAGAATGTAGAATGGTATTGTATGCTTTTACCAATAACCACAAACCATGTAATTTTATTATATAATATATAATGTTATTGTTAATTCTATTGTATTGTTTTAGTGAAAGCTATAAATAAATTATGACTGATAATTGAAACCCCCCAACTTATTACAAAAATAATATCTGGATGCAATATAATATGCTACCCAAATTTGAAAGTGAGCTTGCAAATCCTGAGTGACACAAATAACTCTTATTCATGTGAATCAGAATTGCAGGACTAAGACCCTGTGACTAGATAATCAGAAAAAAAAGGTAGCTTCTGCAGTACTTATTTTTGATGGCAAATAAAAAAAGGAATTGTTAATTTTAATCAGATAGTCTGAGCATCAAGAATTTAAACTGTTGTAAGAACATCATAGAATTTAAACATAGAATTTAAATATCATAGAATCATAGAATTTAAACATCATAGAATTTAAACTGTTATAAGAACTAAGGGCTTTGGCAGAGGTTCTGTGGAATGTGATATAAAATTATAGCATTTAATAGGGTTTGTGTTGTTTCAGACATGCATGACTGACTTGCCAGTAAATGGCAAGTGAGCAGGGGTGTGTACAGGAGCCAGGACTCCAATTCTGCCCTGTGATGGGACAGAGGGGAAGGGTAGCATGTGGAGGTGGACAAACCAACATGTAGTCTGTGGCTTCCTTCCCTCCACAGCCAACGGGGGGCCAGCCAGAGCAGAGGGTGGGAGGAGAGGAATCTTGAAAAAACTGTTTGGAGTGGGGTGAGGGGGAGTAAAGAGAAAGAAGTGAAAAAAATATTTTAGAAAATTGAAGGATTAAAATTTTGTATGCAACTCAGTGAACTACAATTGGGCTGGAAGGGGGAATTGGGTTAGGGGCAGCAGGGTTTGTACTGGCTGGAATGGGGGAGCTGTCCTGGCCTGCAGGCTGGAATGGGGCAAAGTAGCCAGGGCACAAGGCTGAGAACCAATGTACTCATTGCATTGCACAGAGCACATGCAAGAGCCAAGCTGAGAAAAAAAGGGAGCAGGGAAGGGAAACTGAGGCATAATGAAGCTTCCTCTGCTATGTGGCACCTGGTTAATTGAGCCCCTTGTGAAGCATGGAGCCCCTGGGCAGGGAAAACACATGTCTGGAACAAGCGAGCTTCCCCCCACTTGCACTATCTACCTTGAATAGAGCCCCAGTGGCTCCAAGCTGAGCATGAAGCATGCAGTGAGACCATGTAACTGGGCTACACAGTCTTTCCATAATTAAGTGCTGAGAGGGGTGTTCTCAAAAGGTGAAGGGGTGGGGAAGACCACTATAGATTTGCTGGGTGGGAAAGGGTAGAGTGGTTGGGACCTCTGCATCTAGCTGAAGGAATTTAAGTAAGACATTTCCCCAAAGCTTGCATACAGTACCCTGGAACATCCTGGGCAAAACTAATCAAAGATAAACCTCAGCTGTAGTGGCATATCTGTGTAACATTTAGGGTTGTTGGTTGTAGCCATGTTGGTCTAAGGACATAGGCAGACAAGTTTTTTTGCGTAAATGCAATCTCTTTTATTAGACCAGCTAAATAATTGGAAAAATTGTTCTTTGCAAGCCTTTGGGTTTGTTTGTTTGTTTGTGCTCGAAAGCTTCCAAAAAACAAACAATTTTTCCAACTACTGTATTTAGTTGGTTGGTCTAATAAAAGAGGTCACATTTGCCCAAAAACCCTTATCTGCCTTTGTAACATTTAGACACTTACAAAAGTTTGACACCCATCAACTAATTAATGCTTTCATTTCAAATGCCCTTATGATGTTTTTGAGGTACTTGTGCCAAAGCCCATAGTGCATAAAACTTAAAACACAAGATGCTTATTGTACTGAGAACTCATCTGGAGATGATACTTCAGAAACAGTGAATTTACTGCATAAACAGGGAATTATGTTCTCAGGGAACCTGATAATGAATATAATTTTGTATGACTGCAACATATATTAAGAACAGGAGCAAATGCTGCCCTCTCTTCATTGTCTTCAGTGGGGGCAGACTGTGGTCCACTGTATTGTATACTTGCTATTCTACCTATTTGAAATCATTTTGTTAAATCAACACATTAACATTTTCTTTTATCAGAAAATAGGATTGTCTTGTATCTAAGTCGCAGTTAGCATTTGGACAACACATGACTCATTCAACTGTATTTTACACTGAATATTATATAGCATATATCATGGATTATGAATTTTTTTATTATAGGTGTTATTTAAAAACTCAGACAGTCTGCTGGTTTTATTATGGCTTTACTTTGCATTAAGACTGTTATTTAACGTAATATACTGTAAAGTCCAATCTCTTTAAAACACGTATTTTGTTTAATCTACTGGTTCTGTATACGATAAGGAGAATTTACAATAGGCTTACGTGTGTGTAATAGATTTATCCACCCCTAAATACAACCTTTTTATTTTGTAGTACATTTTGTATTACATACTTAGTCTTCATGCACTTGAGTACAAGTGGGTCTAGCAATGGGCCTGCTAGAAGCGTTGCTGAGTCTTAGCAATGGGCCTGCTAAGAGCTTTGTCTGCCCTAGGAGTATGATACTAGGTCTCATATGTGGAATTAATGTTCTATGGCTACAGTGATTTGATCTGAAACATTCTGGTAATCTGTGCCTTGTGTTTGTAAAGGGAACGATTAGGATTCCTATAACAAGTAAGAACAACAACATATGTCAAGCCCAAGAAAAAGCTAGATTCTAGGGGTAAAATCCATGCATTGTTAAAGTCCATTGTAAAACTCTCATTAACTTCAGCAGAGTCAGGATTTCAATTTAGGGTCAAAGCATCTGACTCATGCCCATTGGCTTTCACAAACTAATTATGAAAGTTTAATATTACTAGGCCAATGTTGAACTAGACAATATAGCAAGAGTGGTTGCTCAAACCCACAAAGTAATTCAGTCTTTATAGGATTATAGAGTTATACATAGTTATCCGATGGGATACAGAATGGGCAGGAAGAGATTTTTTTATGCTGAATTTCTTTCAAATGATCAATCTTTTTTCTTCAAGAGCTGCTATAGCAGTGATGCGTGTCTATCAATTTGTTTTATTCTTTGTCGTTGAAAGGAGGAGTCTTCATTCCAAATTGTCAAGTGAGATTTCTACCCTTTTACACTCCCTTTACAAAGGTGAAAAATCATAATTATTAACAAATATAAAAATAATCACTTTAATGAAACATGACAAAAAACAAGATTAACCATCTAACTTGTTTTTGTAATTATAAGGGATGACTTGATTGGATTTTAATCCATTGAATAATCTTATTCTTTCTTCATTTCTTATTATTTCTGATGGTTTACCCAATTAAACTGTGATCTAAAACAGTGTTAGTCAAATAGTTTTGGCTTTTTTGCTGCATATTACAAATCAAATAGTCTGTACTCATTTACACTTAATTAATCCAGCTACTTCAGTATGGGTAGAACAGAATAAAATTTGTCCCCGTGATTTTATTTCTGGTATTATGTAACATATTAATAGCATTATGCAGTGTCAGAGATATAATGTATTTCCTTTTTCTGCTCCCTTCTCCATTTTACCCTACAACATGCTACTGGAGAGTAGATGAAAGTCTGTGAACTTCTTCCTGTGTATCAGGAGACATGTTTACTACATTTAAAAATCAGTCTTCACCTGTGTAACACTACCATTTGTAATTAAATTTGCTTGGATTGCCTGAAGATCCATTAGTGATGATGTGTGGGAAAACAAAAACAAAAACAAAAAAACCCAGAGCAATTGATGCTTGTATTGAGGTATGAGTTTTAGGGCTGGTAAGGAAACATACATTTTTGATAGCTAAACAGATATGAATCAGTGAGACATAACAAACATGGAACCCCAGGATGTCATTTTGCAGAATCACTATTCTGAATAGAATCATGTTAAAACAAACAGCCATATTCCTTTAAATTTGCTGTCAAATAATTAAAAAAACAAACCTCATAAATAACAGCATTTATATTTGTCATAAAAGTTGACATGACAAGTATCTCTGGGTAATTCAGTCTTTACAGAATTCAGCGTAAAGGTATTTCCCAATGGTTCTTCAAGTATGGTGATAACAGTACACTATGGATCACAACCATCAAATTGACTTCCAAGTATTTTGTGAAAACTGTATGGCAGGTATATCAATATTGTAAATATTGTGTGATGCCTAGACAAGTGTGGTGAAATGGGGATCCCTGGCTAGCTGCAGCTAGCTTCCCACCTGCCTCTGGGCACACGACCTACCTATCTCTCCTGCCATGCCTTGTTGATAATTAATAAAAGGTGTTAATTAAGGCGGGAGGCTGCCCATTGTTGCACCCCAATATTAGGGGGGGCTATCCGCAGCTCTGTTCCACCCCTACACTGTGGCCCAAGCCTCGCAGATGGCATCTCAGACAGTCAGCTGAACCCTCGCCTTCACCCATTAGCTATGGCCCCCAACTGTGGGGACCTTCGGCTTCCATAAGCCCTGGCCCCGTCTCAGGCCCAGTTGGGACCCCAAGCTTCTGCGCTCATCGTGGGCATCCCTCGTGGTGGGCCCCTGGCCCTTTTGACCCTCAGGTCCTGGCCCCAGCATTGACTAGTCGATTCCTTCAGCAGGGTCTTCGCCTTTCTGGAGTGGGGTTCCCCATTCCCAGCTCAGGTGCTCCTGGGAGTGTGCCTGGCCCTGCAGGGTCTTTCCCCAACTGGCTCAGGCACTTCCAGAAGCTTACCTGGCCTCTAATCCTCCTCTGATGATATTCCCCTCGCACACACCACAACTGGTGCTCCAAGGTCTCACAGGGACTCTCACTCCCCCACTGGAGCAGCAGGTCATTGTGCTTGGCAATTGCTATTATTTTCAACCCACACAAAAGGTGAGGGATGGGGTTAAGGCACCCCCTACTTGCCTTTCACCAGGGTGGTCACTGACCTGGCATTTCCTGGGAGCTCCCACACCACTGAGAGCCCCACCAGGCCACCCACTCCCAGCAGGGTGCAGTTTTAGGTCATGCCCAGGACCAGAAGTCTCCAAGCCATCCCCTACAGCTCCTGCCCTTACCTCCAAGATAATACCAGCAGCCTTACAACCAGGCAATATTGCTGCCTCTCCTACCAGCAGGGAACTGATCAGGTTATAAAGGCAGCTAGGGATCTAAAATGGCTGCTGTAATCAGGCACCTGCTGGCAGCTTGGCTCAGGCCCTTAAAGTGGTAGGCACCTACAGTGCCCCGCCACCATAAG